AGGGAGTGGTGTCAAACCGGATTATTTCTGCAGTGTGGATGCAGCCTGTTTTAGAAATTGTAGTGTACTAGAAGAATGATTTGGATATACGAAGGGCAATTATAAAGGCATAGAAATAACCAACACTGAGATGGAAGAAACTCAATGGAGATTCAATAACTGGAAATAATCCAGTTTGACATCACTTTAACTGCCATGGCTCAAGGCTATGGAATTCTGGGAGTTGTAGTTGATGTGGCACCAGAGCTCTCTGACAGAGAAGGCTAAATGTCTTACAAAACTACGATTCTCAGAATTCCACAGCCTTGAGCCATGGCAGTTAAAGTGGCATCAAACTGGATTATTTTGCAGTCCGGATGCAGTCTAAGAGATGTTTCTGTTCACACTAGGAGTGAAGATACTGATGTTCATCCCCATCCTAACTACATCCAAAGCCACAGTCTTCTTTATGCCTTAAACTGTTAAACTGAAAATGGTTTAATTTCATTGTGTGTTAATTGTATGCCAACTTGAGTCCCAGCTTTGGGAAAAAATAAGATGGTGGTGGTGGTGGTGGTGGTGGTGGTGATGATGATGATGATGATGATGATGATGATGATGAATGTGTATACCAGGGGTAGGCAACCTTTCCCCTTTAAGGGCCGAGGGACTTCAGCTCCCAGAAGCCTCAGCCATGTTGGCCAATAGTCCCATGTTGGCCAATAACTCCTGGGATTCTGGGAGCTGAAGTCCCTCAGCCCTTAAAGGGAAAAGGTTGCCTACCCCTGGTGTATACACATGATCACATGTATATATTGTTGTCACATATATGTTGTTGTTACTTTTGTGTGCCTTTGAGTTGTTTCTGACTTATGGAGACCCCAAGATGGAGACTCTCATGGAGTCTTCTTGGCAAAACATCTCACTTCAACATCCCACTTGAGACCAGTTTAACAGGTGCGGCTCGGCAGCTGACGGATGCCATGACAGACATGGGCCTATCCCAATTGGTTTCTGGGCCAACGCATTCTGCGGGTCATACCCTCAACGCAGTCTTTAGTACGGAACAGACATATCCGTGGGCGGAGGTAATAAATACCACTGCACTGTCATGGACAGATCATCTCCTGGTCAAGGTTGGACTAAGAGCCACAGTCCACCCCTTCAGGAGTGGAGGACCTATTAGAATGGTCTGCCCTCGGAGGCCAATGGAGCCAACTGGACTCCAAAAAGCCTTGCAGGGTTTCTTGGTTGGCAATGCCGACAATTCTGTCGAAGCCCTGGTTAATACCTGGAACATTGATCTTACCAGGG